TTATTTTTCGTTAGTATTTACATTAAAAAATGTCATTTGAAGTATCACGTTATTTTTTAAAGATCAGCTTAGTAGTAAAAATTTGCAGTAATATATTTAATAACTTAATATGATTTATAACTTTTTCAATCAAGTTCACTCACTAGGGATAACACCAATAATTCATTCATTGATAAAGAAATGTATCAAATTTTCAAGTTTTAAAATTATTTCAATAATACAAAATCACATGGCTGAGTGTAAGCAAGTGGAAGTCGATGCTTTTTAAAATTAAATTTTATTTGGAATACATAACCATTATTATCAGATGAGAATTTGGTGTTAATTAGAATTTGGTATTAATTTATCAATATTACATTAACTATAATTAGATGTACTAATTAGAAAGACCATAATTAGTTGGGCTAGTAAATATTGCAGAATAGTTGTCCTAATTATAGACTAAACTGTGTCAAACATTTATGAATATTTTAACTAGTTACCAGTACTACCTCTTCATTCGTATGAAGTACTTATGAACTGTTATGAACTACTTATATTAGTTTCCGATTCACTCGAAAGAATATTTTTATGAAAGTTTCAACTGTAGTGTATTTTGAGATTATTTCTTTTGTGAGAGGTACTCATCAAAAGTGCAAAATTATAATCACAAACCGAATGATTTTTTGGATTTTATGTTGCAAAAATGGTGAAGTAACCATATTGGGCTTTACTTTACATGCCAATATTTCGATACTCAATAGGCTTGATTGATTAAAGGCAAATATTTGTTGCAAAACCTAATATTCTCTTTGTGTTTGCACTGCAGCCAATGGATGACATAAATATTCCCCAAGTTTAGCTGAATTTCAGCACTCAGGAGAATCAAGTTTGATCAATGTAATAAAGAATGGATCCCATAAAACCAACACAAAACTGTGGCCATCACCTGTCGCGGGTATCAATATTTGACCAAGGGAATTTCCAACACTTAAATTAAATTAGTGGAAATTCATTTTTAGCACTTCAAATTCAAATAACCACGAGGGAGGCTGGTAAAATTAACTTGAATCCCCCTTACCCCTCCCACCTTTGGTATAATTTTACAGGGCTTGACAAAATTAAACAATTATCACGAACAAAATACGATTCGGATTACTAATAACAAAATGACAGTTAAAAATTACTTGTAATAACCAATACTTGTTTTTGTTAGTTTGGTGAGTCGATGGCTCAGTTGGTAGCGTCGCGGACTTCGGGCCCAAGGCAGTAGAGTCGTGGGTTCGGATCCTGGTCACTGCCACAAACTTATATCAGTTAAGTTTACCGTTGTACTGTACCGGCTCACCCCTTGCTTTGCTGGATACGTTCCACGCACAGATCTGTAGTCTATGTGGATGGGCAAATGCAAGGTTTAAAGGATATTTTTAGTTGCCTTTTTGTTATTAGACGTCAGTTTTCTATTTTCTTTATGTTTATTAGTTAGTTTTGTCAAGACCTGTAAAATGATACCAAACTCTACCATACTTCCTATTTGAGAATTTTGAACTACCCACCCCCACTACACCTAAGGGCCAAAAAAATAAAAATCATTATTCATATCCCCTCATATCTAAACAGGTTGCTGCAAACCGATTTCAAATATCTCAAATTGTTGAAAAGTTAAGGGGGAAGTAAGTTACTTTTCAGCCACCCTGTATAGTATTTCAAATACTAAGTTTGTTTCATTTGGAGCAATGGCGTAAAATATTAGAATGGGTGAAATGGTGGTTTAGTGAAATACTAGAATATCTTAACAGAAAACAGTAACAATAATTTTTAGAATCATCATAGTACTATGGATATAATCATTTCTAGAGAACATTATGCTAAATCCTTTACCAATTGCAATGTTTTGAATAAGCCAAACGTGAAAACCAATTCCTGGTGACAATTGTAAATCAAGTACAAAGTCGATTGTTACGTCTCCAATCAACGTCTGAGCTATATTATATGTTGATTGGACGTTTGATTGTAGGTATTTGTGATCAACATTTACATAAACAAGCACTATGGAGGTGATTGTTTCTGTTTCAATGGAAATGTATCATCTCGTGCTACGTGAAGACATGAGACTAATGATGTTAAGATGCCATTGTTACATATGTATAGGATAATATATTTGTTTACATATTTACATTAGAAAAGTAATAGAGATTATTAGCACAAAATTATAAGTACTGTATTTTCATATTGAAAAAATGTGTATCACCAACAAATTTAAATTGCATTTAGTATAAAACTCATATACAATAGGATACCCTTTGGTAATGAATTGAAATTGTGATTATATCATGAAAAATATTTTCGGACATTTTAAAAATTAGATGTAACATAAAAAGGGGAAAAGTCTAGAGTGGTTAAAGAAACGGGCAGAATAAATATCAAATTCAATTTCTCAGCATTTTATTTAGCTATTTAACTTCTAAATTGAGATAATGTTAGTATGTTTATCGTTAATCGGGGTGCAATTTATGTTGTTCTCATATTAAATGTGAGTATTTTGTACTTATATACTCAATTCCTGTGTTTTCCGATCCGTACTCATAGTCAGTGAATTCCCTGTAAATATCCCATTTTGGTGTTAATAGAGGCAGGCAGCTGCTCTGATGTACAAATTACAAAATTACTTTTTCATTACTGAACCCTGGTTGAGTCAAAGGGTGTAATTTTCTACTTCTGATGGAATTTATAATTGCTGTTATTGCTTAAATCATTTTGATTACTAACCTACCAAGATTAACGGAGTCTTTTTCCTGTTCCGGTTTAAATTGAAATTATCGTTTAATTAGTGAATTACTACCATTAAATTATAAATATGTTGTAATACATAATTATAAACACTTGTAATATAAAGCAAAATAGTGTATGGTTGCGATTATGAAATCGGTTTAAACACATTAATGAGCCATGTCTTTGTATATTTAATATTTTATTTTTAAAATACATAAGTTTTACAGTATATCTACAGCTTGTCAAGTATGCACAGATTGCCTGTGATTGTATAAGTTAAATGACCAGAGGTAGAACTCACACCTTTGGTCAAGCAAGATATTTGTCACCGTTTAAACAGTGTTTAGTTCTAGCTCGGTTTTACCTACCCTGACAAATCTGTAATGAACGCTTCATTATGTATAGAGTTCGTGTACGATAAGATATTTTTTTTTTGTGAACGTAATGTGTAGACAAATTATTATTTATGGAGATGAAAAGTTACATCAGTTAGTGTTAAAAATGGTGTTAACAGTTTTATATAAAAAAACTAGCTGGCCCGACAGACGTCGTCCTGTCCTAATGTGGTTTTATGTCAAATGCTTGTTCATTTTCAAGATCCTGGTTGAAGTTCGTTCGCTACGCTCACTCACCTTTAGGTTGGAGCTCGTTCGCTGCGCTCACTTGCCTTCAGGTTAGCTAATTTGCTACGCTAACTCGCCTCCAGGTTGAAGTTCGTTCGCTACGCTCACTCACCTTTTGGTTGCAAATTAGCTGTTGTCATAAATAATGCCTGAAAGTTGCATTACAATCTGTCAAGCGGTTTCGGAGTCCATAAAGAACAAACAAACAAACATACATACATACAAACAAACATACGTTGGATTTTATATATATAGACTAGCTGACCCGGCGAACTTCGTATCGCCTAAGTTATAGGTTTCCCCTAAGACAGACCGATGGAAAGAAAGTACCGTTACGTTTAATTTTCAAGATGATCTCGTTCGCATCGCTCAATCACGTCCTGGTTGAAGTTTGTTCGCTACGCTCACTCACCTTTGGGTTGGAGCTCGTTCGCTACGCTCACTCACCTTTAGGTTGGAGCTCGTTCGCTGCGCTCACTTGCCTTCAGGTTAGCTCGTTCGCTACGCTCACTCGCCTCCAGGTTGAAGTTCGTTCGCTACGCTCACTCACCTTTTGGTTGCAAATTAGCTGTTGTCATAAATGTAAAAGAAATAATAGTGCTGCACCCTGTTGGTAATCCTTGTAACTTTAATGCTATTGAACATCATAGGACAGAACCAACTTGTTTAATTGGAACAGCTGTTAAGATTCATTAATTCCATTTCTCATAAGGTTAACATGGGAATCTGCAGAGCCACTGGGGCGGAGCCCTTTTAAGAATTGCGAAACGGGAAATGGTTTACGTCCGATTCGCATACCTACAGAATTTACACACCAAATTTCATAACGATCGGTGAAGTCGTTCCGGAGGAGTTTGCAGACAAACACTGTGACACGAGAATTTTATATATTAGATAAATACATAATGGCATAATGAACTTTAATTAACAGACTGAATCAACATGAACAAAGTAAATACAGTTCGCTGGAAATAGTAGACATGCATTTTATGTATTTCAGACCCTCAATTCAGTAAATAAATATTTTCGTTAATGTACCATATTCTGATAATTTGTACCATAATGTTACAATAGTTTGACACTCATACCATCATGTAACCACAATTTCTGTTTAGGTTGGCAATATGCAAAATCAGGCGATATTTCTAATAAAACAGCTCATGGCTATTTCCCGTGACGTCATATCACGCCACCATCACACCACCTTTCCGAACAAGCCTAAAACCCCTCTCCTCACGTAAGTCCACACCATGTATTAGTCCCGTCAACACCGTATACCCTTTGCGGCCCTCTGAGCCCTTTTAAAATGTAACAAGTGTATTTATTACAACGCCCCATCCCTGACCCCAAAACGTACAGTACGATGACGACGTATCGTACAACTGGCGACGAGGAACACGGAATATTATCGCGTTTTAAAACTTAAATTCGCGAACAAAGTGACAGTGCAAGTGAACAAAGTTACAGTGCAAGTGAACAAAGTGACAGTGCAAGTGAACAAAGTGACAAGTGAACGTGAAGAAACGGCCGACGAACGTCAAACAACCGCGAATATTGACTCAGACTCATATTCTTGGCGGAAACGTTTTCGTGAGTGTAGAAAGGTACACCTAACATAACGTTATTCTTTGTTTTATGGACGTAATATTAGACTACGGACAGTTAAATAAGTGTAAAAAAGGCACTTATGCCGTTGACTGAAAGTTATTTCGAACAATTCGGACAGTTAGCGGAAACGTATTTTTCAACAAACATGGCAACAATTGGTAATATCGGTCCTTTTGACAGCGCCGAAGAAACTTGGCAATCGTATACAGAGCGATTTGAACTTTTTGTAGACTGCAACGGGATTAATGCCACAAAGAAAGCGAGCACACTACTAACGGTAATGGGAGTCAGGACGTATAAATTGTTAAAGGACTTAATCACACCTGATAAACCTTCGTCCAAGACGTACGAGGAAATTGTAGACACGGTCGGTAAACATTTACACCCGAAACCGTCGTTTATTACAGAACGTTTTAAATTCAGCCGCAGACATCAGTTAGAACACGAAACAGTGAGTGATTATATCGTACAACTTAAGCAGCTATCGCAACATTGTGAGTTTGGGGACAAGCTTCCAGACCATCTACGCGACAGACTGGTATCAGGCCTCAAGAACCACCACATCCAGAGACGACTGCTGGGGGAGGATAACCTGACCTACGACAAGGCAGTACAGCTGGCAACGTCAATGGAGTTCGCCGAGAAAGGAGCAGCCCAGATGACGCTTAATCCAGGAGGACGACTTCAGCGCCTCAGCCAGACGACAAGGACAGCACCAAGCGGAAGCGGGGGAAAATTCGCAGCCAACAGAGGTTCGGCAACGTCACAGCCCCGGGAGTGCAACTGCTGTGGAAAGAACAATCACAATACTCTGCAATGTCGGTATCGTGAGTACAATTGCAATTTCTGTAAGAAGAAAGGACATCTTGAAAAAGCTTGTAGATCTAAGAGTAGAAGTGCAAATAGGCCCCATTTTAGTAAACAGTATAATGATGTATCTAAGACTAATGGACAGTCTAGGGGAGGAAATAAGTCGTATTTTAATTCAAAGTACAGTAATGCTAATGCTAGGCAACATTATGTAACAGAAAATGTCCCTGAACAAAGTGTAGACGAAGACACGGTATATGACATATCTAACTTATTTCAGGTACAGGGAGTAGAAGTTAGGAAAAAAGTAGAACCAATTAGAGTGCAATTAGAGGTAGAGAGCAAAAAGATCCTATTTGAAATTGATACCGGAGCTTGTGTGTCAGTTATATCTGAAAAAGATTACAAAGTAAAGTTAAGTCACGTAAAGTTACTACCAACAAGCTTAGTTCTTAGTTCGTACACACACGAAAAGATCGTACCTATCGGTAAACTATGTGTAAATGTAAAACATGAAGGTATTTGTAAACAATTAGAGCTGTATGTTGTCCCTAACGGTGCAAACCCATTGTTAGGTAGGGATTGGATGAAAGCACTGCAGCTAGTTGTTAGTATCAAAAATAGTAGTAAAGTAAACAATGTTCAATCAGCTGTGGATGACAGCTCAGTTGGTACACCTGTCAGCTGTTCTGCTAGCAGAATGGTCGACACTAGCGCGCCGACTGAGGTGGCCGACACCGCAGTTACCAATGTAAACAAACAAACAAATGTCACAGTACATCAGCAGGGCAAGCAGCTAGTTAAACAGTTGTATGAGGAATTCCCTGATGTTTTCACAGACAAGCTAGCTTGTTTTAAGGGAGAACCAGTCAAACTTAAACTAAAACCTAATGCAACCCCTAAATATCATAAGCCAAGGACCTTACCTTTCACACTTAAAAATAAAGTAGAAGCAGAACTAGCACGTTTAGAAGCTGAGAGTATTATTTCACCAGTAAATTCAAGCCAATGGGCTACCCCTGTAGTACCAGTTTTGAAAACAAATGGTCAGTTAAGATTGTGTGGAGACTATAAAGTAACGCTAAATCCTTTCTTAGAGATAGACAGACACCCTTTACCTAAGATTGAAGAATTGTTCTCCAGTTTGCAAAATGGAGACAGGTTTTCTAAAATAGATTTGTCACAAGCGTATCAACAACTAAGACTAGATGATGAAAGTAAAAAGTTATGTACAATTAGTACCCATAAGGGCTTGTTTGAGTACAATAGGTTATGTTATGGCATATCATCTGCTCCTGGTATTTTCCAGCGCACAATGGAGCAAACCTTACAAGGAATACCAGGTGTAGCGGTATTTCTAGATGACATTCTTGTAACAGGACAAAATGACTCTGAACATATTAGTAAATTAAAGTTAGTTTGTAAACGACTACAAGACAATGGTTTCACAGTCAGTAAAAGTAAATGTAAATTTTTCTGTGAAAGTTTAGAGTATCTAGGGTTTGTCATAAGCAAACGAGGGTTGGAAACTTCACAAGACAAGGTCAAAGCCATTGTAAACGCCCCAGAACCAAAAGATGTCACCCAATTAAAAGCATTTTTAGGCTTAGTTAACTACTACGCTCGTTTCATACCTAGAATCTCAACCATACTTACCCCTATGTATATGTTATTGAGGAAAGACACTGAATTTGTATGGAATTTAGCGTGTAAGAAAGCTTTTGAAGAAGTTAAGCAAAAACTAGTATCAGCCCAAGTACTAGCTCATTTTGACCCTAAGTTAAAGTTAACGTTAGCATGTGACGCTAGTGCCTATGGTATAGGTGCAGTTCTAAGTCAAATTCAAACAGACGGTACTGAAAGACCTATTGCATTTACAAGTAGAGTGTTAAATGATACTGAAAAGCAGTATTCACAGATTGACAAAGAAGCTCTTAGTATAGTTTATGGAGTAAAAAAATTCAACCAGTACTTGTATGGTAACCATTTTTTGTTAAAAACAGACCACAAACCGCTTGTAGCTATTTTTGGACCTAAACAAGGTTTACCTGCATTTGCAGCTAGTAGGCTCCAACGCTACGCATTGTTTCTATCAGGTTATCAGTACGACATTTCTTATGTTAAATCCGAATGTAACGGAAATGCCGATGGTCTATCACGTTTACCAGTAAGTAATCCTGTGAACGATGAAATCAATGACAAGGACTTAAATGTAAATATTGTAGGTACCTATTTACAGTGTTTAATTGAGAGTGAACTTCCTCTAAGTTATGTAGAAGTAAAACGAGAGTCAGCACTAGATCCTATACTAAGTAGAGTGATAAGTTATGTTAGATTTGGATGGCCAAATGACGTAAATGAGAGGGATCCTATGTTAAATCCATTTTTTGTGCGACAGTCACAATTAACTTTTGAACAAGGACTCCTAATGTGGGGTTACAGGATCGTCATACCAAGCAAGTTTAGAACACATATTTTACAAGAATTACACAATGGCCATGTAGGGATAGTAAGAATGAAGGCGTTGGCAAGATCCTATGTTTGGTGGCCAAATATCGATTTGGATATTGAACAAATTGCTGGTAATTGTACATCATGCTTGAAGGAACGTGTAACTCCGCCCAAGTCGATTTTGCACACTTGGAATGTACCAGATAAGGTGTGGTCCCGGATTCATATTGATTTTTTCGGACCTTTTCAATCAAAGTTATTTTTAGTAATTAAAGATGCTTATTCAAAGTGGCCGGAAGTGTTACCCGTTCCATCAACGCAAGCAAAACACACAATATCTCATCTTAGAGAATTGTTTGCTAGATTTGGCTTAGTAGATCACATTGTCAGTGACAATGGACCACCTTTCACAAGTACAGAATTCCAAACATTTTTGCAAAAAAATGGAATCAAACACACATTTTCTCCACCATACAACCCAAAGACTAATGGCTTAGCCGAGAATGCTGTAAGAACAGTAAAACACAAACTTAGAATAGCACTACAAGACACTTCTGATTTGAACTTAGCATTATCAAATTTTTTGTTTACATACAGAAATACAGTACATTCCACAACCAATCAAACACCAGCAGAGTTAATGTTAGGCAGATCTCTGAAATCGAGGTTGGACTTAATTAGACCTAATGTGAAGGATGTCATTAGTAGTAATCAAAACAGACAAGTTTCAGCTTATGGTGGTGTCACAACTCGTAGATTATTTGTTAATCAACCTGTATTAGCTAAAGATTACAGGGGAAGGGAGAGATGGATAGAGGCTACAGTTATTGAAAAACTGGGTCCTGTAACTTATTTAGTTGAACTAGAATCAGGCGTTCAGTGGAAGCGTCACATAGACCAGTTGATAGCTTTACAGTCTAAGCTAGGGCAGCAGTCAGATTTAGTAGTAGAATTTCCCAAAAACGATCTGACAACGTCGCTTCCAGACAGAAAACCGGCAACATTGCAAAATTCGCCAGACCACACACTGACAGGGAACAGTAGCGAAGGTATGCGAGCTCTTCCGGGCACAGTCGGGCAGAAAACTCCGATATTGACTAGGTCACCTGACGCAAACCAAAACATTGAAAGAGCGGGGTCATTGGCTTCGCCTCCAAATGTAAACAAATCGCCAAATGTAAACAGACAGACGCCTACTAGACGCTTTCCTGTACGGGAGCGCAAACCTGTAATAAGATTAGACCTTTAATTGAATACCCGGACATGACTTGTATATAGATTTATTTATTATATATCCTTATCAATGATTTTCAAATGTGTATTTATTGAATTGTGTGTACCATTATGTGTGTTATCATTATTTAATATCATCAAGGTTCAATGTTTAATGTTATTAAGGTTTATGATTTCAAGAGTGTGTTTCATTTACTTGTGTTTTTAATGTGTGAATTTTGACCATATATACATGTTATATATATATTGAACTGATGATTGATTGATTCTCATTCTCATTTAAATGATTGGCAAACAAAAATAATAATAAATTAATAAGATATTCTGGTATTGTTATTTGTGATTATAAGTTTTCAAGATTATAGTAACCGATAGCATCACAAAACTTAAGAGGGGAGGATTGTACCATATTCTGATAATTTGTACCATAATGTTACAATAGTTTGACACTCATACCATCATGTAACCACAATTTCTGTTTAGGTTGGCAATATGCAAAATCAGGCGATATTTCTAATAAAACAGCTCATGGCTATTTCCCGTGACGTCATATCACGCCACCATCACACCACCTTTCCGAACAAGCCTAAAACCCCTCTCCTCACGTAAGTCCACACCATGTATTAGTCCCGTCAACACCGTATACCCTTTGCGGCCCTCTGAGCCCTTTTAAAATGTAACAAGTGTATTTATTACAACGCCCCATCCCTGACCCCAAAACGTACAGTACGATGACGACGTATCGTACAGTTAAAAAGGTATTTACCGAGTGAAAACATTCTGGAATGCTATAACTAAGCCATTGGAAATTATAAATCGGCAGAGTACAGTTATTGGTTTCCAATAATGCATTGCAACTATTCAATGCTGTGCTGACGATTGAGGTTGTGTTTTTCGTACGTGTTGAGCATTTAGTGTTGGTGTATATGATTAATTTGGTCAATTGGGTATAATGTTATGTAAACAATTTCTTAGCTAAAATTTATAATTTATATATAACTATTTGAAACTGTTTTTATATTTTGATTACTTGTGACCATGTATGAAAAAAGTAACAGATAAGATACTTAAGGTGAATATTAAATAAAATATTCCAGATAAATGCAGCTTTAAAAATTAATTCTAGGTACAGGTATGACATCGGACATTAAAGTGATATACCGTAAGAATTAACAATTTAGATACCTAACTTTAAGAGCGTTAACAAAGGTACGTTAACTTCAATAAATTACCTAAGTATAGTATTACATTGGCGAGAAAATACTGTGCAATTGACAGGGTTTGGTGATAATAAACCACACTAACATTTCTAAATATTCATAAATTCCTAACAATAATAATAAGGGAAACAGAATGTGGTTGAATGTTATAATTGACAATATTAGACAGTGGTTAACAGGGCGGTTAGAAGCTCACATTGTTACTGATACTAGTATTGATTTGGAGAATTATAGCTGGATGATTAATTTATAATATTAAACACATAAGTGTCGTTTATGTTTTAATTCAAAAATGGAGGGTGATTTGATTACAACGTCTAGCACGATAAGTCCATCACAGCCAAAAGATCAATCAAATGGTAAACTCAAATCAAATGGATGGATTGAAATCAAATGGATGCATTCAATTGATGGTGGATTAGAGCGTGGAACCTACGTCATAGAGATTCCACCTCAAACTGTCCGAACAGTACACAAACAATGATCGGGTTCTTAGTCTTATTAAAAGTTAAACCGTCCATGTTTTGGAGATGTTTCTCGATGGTTGAATCGATGGTTCTTTCTTCTTATCTTTCTTCTTCTTTCTTCTTTCTTCTTTTTCTTTCTTTCCTCTTAATATAAACTTGACTATTCCAATTCAATGTAATTTTGTAATTCTGGAATAAAGAACTTATGACTTCTTAGTTGTCTCACAATTCCATGACTCAGGGTGAGAGTCAATCAGTAAAAAAATATATAGTAACAATACGTCTTTGGCCTACAGTTCGAAGGAAAAAATTTGTATCATACACATCTCTCTACAGACAAGCAAACAATATCTATTTTTGCTCCAATTCCTAATTTCCCTGGTAATCACTTTCGTGACGACACACTTTATGACGTAACTTAACTCTAGTAACACGTCGTCATGACGTCACGTTTTTTTTGTGTTTAACCGTTTCAGTCCTCGCTTCTATTCATAAAAATTGTTTTGAAAATTTTACCAATATTTACAGTTAGGCCTACGTTAATCTAAAATATAATACTATAAAGTTTTGATGAATAAATTTTACATCGTGGTTTGCAGATTAGGTAAAGCAATAGCAAATAGAGTGAATCATGAATAGAGTCGTGCATATTTTCTGTAAAAATCTCATCATCATGTGAAGGCGTTGTACTTGATCAGGCTTTTGATACAGTTCAGTGATGTAATCGACAGAATATATATATTTTTTTACATAAATAAATGAGTATTATACACTGCATGAACATTTTAATTGAAATTGTGAAAATAAAACGAATACAATACTTTGTTCTAGTATGATATTTATTGCATCGTAAAATTCAAGCGATAACCAATGTTTACGATTAACACACGTTAAACGAATAGTTTCGACCCTATCTCAGTAACGATGAGCTCAATTATAAAACAGATACGTGAGTTAATTATTGTTTAATTCCCTCAATCACTGTTTTATATGTTTACTTAATACTAAACGATTAAATATATTCCCCGCCTGTTTGCCAGAAGTTGCCTAATTTGATGCTGCAACTTTGACAAAGTCAGCGAACTGATAATGAGTTTAGAATTAGTCGTGCCATTATGTGCTGCTGATGCGTGTTATAAAGTATTGTTCAATACATGAGCCGAGTACGCTTTCAAGAATTCGTTAATATTCAAATTCCAGTAAGTTTTTATAGTGAGAATATAGGATAAAGCTTTTACAGGTAGCTTAAAAAACCCTTTTTGTGTTTTGTAATTTCGCATCTATTTTTACCAATAGTTTACATTTATGCCGACATATAAGCCACCAGTTGGATTGTGTACCAAATCCAATAGTTATTCACTGTAATTACCATGATAATTCTAAACTAACGTGATCTCTATCTATATACATAAAATCCAATGTATGTTTGTTTGTCCTTTATGGACTCCGAAACCGCTAGACAGATTGTAATGAAACTTTCAGGCATTATTAAGCATCACTAAAGGATGGTTTGTGTGAAGTTTGGTGCAGATCCGTCAAAAGGGCTCCACCCCAGTGGCTCTGGAGTTCCCATGTTAACCTTATGAGTACTCATATTTAAATGGAATTGAAGAATCTTAACAGCTGGTTCAACTAAACAATATGATTCTGTGATGCTCAATAGCGTTAAAAAGTTAATAGGTTTACCAACAGGGTGCAGCACTATTATTTTTTTTATTTATGACAACATCTAATTTGCAGCCAAAAGGTGAGTGAGCGTAGCGAACGAACTTCAACCTGGTGAGGTTAGTTAGCGTAGCGAACGAGCTAACCTGAAGGCAAGTGGAAGGCGCAGCGATTGAGCTCCAACCTGAAGTATATTTTTTTACCCGATTCGCTCTAAAAACATACGACTATTCAATGCTCTTCCATCAATAAATGTTTCTGTGGAAATGTTTTCTCTTCCAGACAATCACTTAGTCGATTGAGTCTAAGTGTTATTGTTTACGGAACCAAATACATTACCAACCACTTCAATGCGTTTGGTTTGATTCTTTTATACCAACTCACCAGATATTGTTGTCACTCAAAACAACTGTAAATTTATTCCGAGTTCAAAACTTCTACAAAATATTGTATGTCGAGTGTTTCTTTACAGTGATCATACGTAAGCACAAGGAGTTATAAATGTAATACGTTTCTAAGGGAACTAACGGATACGGAATAATTAATTAATGGTACTAATAATTAAAAGGATTTAATAACTTTAGGAATACTGATAGAGCTAATACATTTAGGAATAAAAGGGAACTAACAACTTAAGATAAATAAAAAATAATAATTAAATGGATGTTTACGGAACTAGTAACTATGTAAAATGGTGCATGTCATGCCGTGTAACAAACAAACTAAGGCTTGTGCCTTATATAAATATACTAACACAAAATAAGTTAATTAAAAGAAGAGATTATAACATTGAAACACTTTTGTATTAAGAAAGAACTACAATAAAATCAAATATAAAGTTTACAAACAGTCAGCTGATCATATGATAATTTTAACATTTAAAGTATAGTTGAGACAGTAATTAGCAGATTCAAATTAATGGCAAAACCATGTAGCCACATACTCCCCTCCCAGTGTCAACGAGGAACGTAACGATGCGGGGGGTGAACACTACGACCTGATCTTGTAAAAATCAGTGTTTTTTTAAGGTCAACATCTTCATTTCTGTCTTTGGTCTTGTCTACTTGAGTTTCTCTAGGTTTCATGTCATTTTTTCTTACGTTAATGGTCGTACCGTTCATAGAATCTTGAAGGAGGAATGCCGGTTTGAGTCGGTCAATAGAAATCGACGTAGGTCCTCGTGGAGTAAGAATAGTAAACCACTTGTCAGATCGCGAAACCACTTGGTAAGGACCATCATAGACAGCTTGCAACGGTCTTCGGGATGAATCATGACGAACAAAAACATGGTTGGATGTTCTTAATTCTGGATGAACAAAGACCTTCTTAGAAGAATGGTATTTGGCTTCTATTGGTTTGAGATCATTCATTTTTCTTTTCAGATTGTACACTAAATCAGGAACATTTGTTGAGGTATCTTCTGTAGTTTGAAAAAGATCGCATGGCAGTCTGATGGACTGACCTAGTGTCATTTCTGCAGCAGTAACGTTGTGTTCTGGAATAATATAAGATCTTAGTCCCAGTAGAACCATTGGTAACGTCTGTGTCCAGTTAGATGTGAGTTGAGCCGTTAATGCAGATTTCAGATGTCGGTGCCATCTCTCGATCTTTCCATTAGCTTCAGGGTGATACGCTGTAATTTTAATGTGATGGATACCGAGATGTTTTGTTAATTCCTGAAATAAATTGCAGTCGAATTGTCTTCCTCTATCTGTAGTAATGTTTTGAGGAACTCCAAATCTAGCAATCCAGGTAGAAAGAAGTGCTTCTGCAACTGTTCCAGCAGTAATATCCTTGATAGGCGTTGCTTCAACCCATCGTGTAAAGCGGTCTATGATAGTTAGCAAGTACGTAAATCCTTGAGAAGGTGGCAAGGGTCCAACTATGTCCACATTAATGTGAGAAAAACGTCCATTTATGTTGTTGTAAGCTCCAATCTCAGAAGTAGTATGTTTCCAAACCTTTGATTTCTGGCAAGCTACACATGCTTTGGCCCAAAGTCTGACATCTTTATTCATGGAAGGCCAAACAAAACGTTGTTTAATAAGGTCCAGAGATCCTTTGATTCCAGGATGTGCCAGGTTGTGAAGGGAGTCAAATAACTGTTTTCTGAACTGCTGAGGAATAAATGGTCGTAGTCTTCCAGTACTTGTGTCACAACACAGCTCTGAGCCATTAGGAAGTAAAATATTTTTGAATATCAAAGAAGTTGTGTTTGAGT